AAATCAGTGCCAATTTCCTGTTATTTATTGTCTGTTTATCACAAGCCTAACTCAGGGTCTAAAAATCACTTGGTATCTATAAAAATCTCCAAATTAATTAACCATGCCTAATTCTAACACATTAAAGTAAATAAATAATTAATCTTCTTGACTTGAAATGTCCTTTAAATTCCACAGAATAATGCTTGACACATACTGAATATCCAATAAATGACAGCTATTTCTTATTCAATAGGAAAATTATAAAAATAAATTCATATGTCTAGCGCTTATTTTTAAATTATCTTTGAAGGACCAAGTTAAGCTGCATGAGACTAAGTTTTTAATTAATGAGCTATACATGTTCTTTTCTTTGCCATCTGGAAGTAGTTCATGTTTTTCTTTTCCTTTCAGGAAATGTGCGCTATACAAAGCATTGAAAAAAGTGTAACTTTTACTCCTGCTGGCATATGGTGCTGCACATAAATGAAGACACAGCTCACTACTTCTGAAATCAGAAGTAATATGCAAGCATGTTAAGTAAATTATAAGCTATCAACCCATTAAACTAGCTGAAAAATAGAAGTGAGTTTTCTCCATCTTGACTAGTCATTATCTTTCTCTCCAAATTTCACAAAAAGTGTTTAAACTTTCAAATAATAACAATGCTGAGGTTTATCTAGGGCCTCTTTTCATACTCTTATTAAGGAGGTAATAAATTTGTGATGCGGGTTCTAATGTATAATAAGAAGGTATAAAATAGTATCTTCTGGAAAATTACTAACTTCATTCTAAAGTTACACTGAAGAGGTGATCTGCTTAAGTATATCCCAAGTTCTGTTGCTTGGATGCCACTCATGTCGTATATGACCTTGAATGACTCTTAATTCTCCTGTTTCCCTAGAGACAAAATGACAATTCCAACTGCTACCCACATTGCCCTGTAGGGAACAGAGTTGATTGCTGGATAACATTGAGGCTGACCCTGTCATGGACAGGCAGCTCATCGGTTGCACTCCATTTCCTTAATAAAATTACAACACACATGATGAATTACAATCAACAGACGTTTATCTCTGACAAGGTAAGGGTCAAAAGATGGGCAATAGTTTGAAAAATTAAAACTTCTGGAGAATTCTAGTTCTTTTTCACAGTAGAACAACAATGAAACATTAAATTACAAAGTGACACCTCTACCGAAGGTTTTAAGTACTTCCATGAATAATTTATTACATGTCATCAGTCAATTTCAATGACTATGAAACTTTCAAAATAAGACTCAAGACAGTACCTCTAGCAAAAATTCCTTATTGAATTATTTTACTCAGGGTAAGAAAAGAAAAGGTGAAATAAGAATTAACTATTAATATCAGGCTCATATTATCGATTGGTTAGTATATCTTAAAATGTTAATGATGGTTATTAGTAGTTCTCAGTGCTTCCCAGCAGTTACTCTTCTAGGTGCTTTTGAAAATTTATCTTATTTAACTGGACATACTGGTGCATGTCTGTAATCCCAGCTCTTGGGTGAATGAGGAAGAAAGATCGCTGTGAATTTGAAGCCAGCCTGGGATATACAGTGAGTGCAAGGCCAGCCTGAACTACTTAGTGAGACCTGGTCTTTAAGAAGGACCCCCACAAAGTTATTTCATTTAAATAACAATAGCATAAAGTAGAAACTACTAATACATCTACATGTGACAACTATCAGAATTAGATCCATAGAGGACACACACATGCCTTCTATAAAGGAAGAAGAACCTCTCCAGTTCTTTTTCTTTTACACCAGAAATAGTGTGAGTCCAATTTGTATCAAACTTTGCAGAAAAAAAAAATTGAAAAGCACATGTAGGAGACATTTAGAGAGATTGAATATAGATTGGGTAGGAGATGATCATAAATTTTATTTAGTGTGATGATCATATTGTGGTTCTATTGGTGGGATATAAAAGTAATAAAAACTAGGCAAAAGAGAGACAAAACCATAATTTTCAAAATGAAAACTACAATTCCAGTACACACCAAGTTCTTTTTTCTTTTCTTTTCCCTTCCATTTCTCTCCCTCTTTCTCCCTCTCTCTCCTCGCCTCTTTTCTCTTTTCTCCCTCTCTCTCCCTCCCTCCTGTTTCTTCTCTCCACCTAGAATACAACAAACTTGGACAATTCCCTTTTATATGCCAATATATTAATTTTATTCACAAGAATGCCTTTGCAACATGACTCAGAGCCTGTTAACTCTCACTCTACACATGATATAAGAAAGTTTAGTTACCTGAATTATATGCCCCCAGGGTACATTAAATTGGTTGGAAGTAGACAGGAGGTTTCAAAGACTGATCACAAGGTTGAAGAGGAAAATCAAAGAGAAACATCCCTCTTAGGTAATGGAGATTTGTTTATTCATGAGTAAGGATTCCTGCTTATGTGAGGACACACTCAACTTATCATCATATTACAGCATAGCACAGTTATGTTTGGTCATAATACTGACAACAACTCATCTACATCATCATCCAGCCAGTTTGTGGGTGTCTACTGCACAATAGAATTATTTTGCACAACTTCTTTCAAGGAGTTTGAAATATCCGATGCAGAAATGGTCAAATTATATTTAGAACTTCTCAGTTGGTAAGGAATAAAATTTGAAAACAAATTCTGTGAATATTTTTGTCATTTAATCTTGAAAAGGAACATGAATAGTATTCCACAAAATAGGTATAATTATAGAAAGAATTATATGTCTATAGTTTCTATACATATTTTCTTCTTAGCAATGAATACAGTTTTATAAAATATACAATGGATACAACAATGACAAATTTGTTTTCCAATAATTAATAGAAATAGGGCCAGGGATTTAGGTAAGTGGTTCTGCCACCTGCCTTGCAAGCACAAGTCTGAGTTCGATTCCCAGTACCAGAAAAACAACAACAACAAAAAAAACCCAAATGGTTAATTAATAGGAATTTCAACATTTCATTTTATCTTTCTAACAACATTTTTCTTGCTAAAAGAATAATTTGAGGAATATAATATAGAAGTAAAATATATAGGCCATATTTAAAAGTATGTATATATGTATATGCAACATTTAATATAGTCCCATAATTAATGCCTAAACAAATATGCTGCTGATCACAGTTCCTTTCACTTAAAAGTGGATATAATACCTGTCATCACAATCACATATAAAGAATGTGCAATATCTATTCTCATTACATTATTATAATTATGTCTAGATTGACCAAAAAATGAACATTTATATTTTGTATAATGTATGTATTATTTACCATTTGTAACAGAAAACAATTTTATATCAAATTGGAATCTCAAAAAATATTTCTTTGTACTACATGGCTGGATAATTACCCATATTTCTATTACATTTTATCAAAGACTCAATGTTAGTTCCCATATTTTGAAATTTAAATGAATCAAATCAATGTTATTACCTTTCATTCTTTGGAAATTCCCTTAAAGTCTATAAATTTAGGAGGATTTATATCCCTTTAAGCTACATTTTTAAATCCACATTTTTGCCTACACTGACTTATTCCTTTCATTTAAGATTTACCCATGACTGTTCCTTTCTCACTTACTGTCTTGATCTGACATCCTAAAATCTTTAGAAATCTGTGTCATTTATGTATATGGGAAAATTTATAGAAGTATTTACAGTTAAAGAGGGAATTTTACAAATCTGCTATACAAATATCTTTAAATTATTTAATTATCATTAAAATATGATTTTTACTTAAAACATTTCTGATTTGGAAAAAAGTGAAGTTTATTGCTAATATTCATTTAATTTTCAGCAATGGAAAATTACTAAATTTTATAAATGGGAATGCCATTGCTAAAATAAGAGTGCTATAAATAGAATTATGTATTTTGCTTCCAAGAACTACTAATATACTAGAATGATGTGAAAATAATAATAGAAGTGAAATACATCATGGCAAACTTTGAGAGTAAAGTTATTATTATTTGACAGCAAGTTATGGAGTAGCCATAGCACCACCTCGTGAATATTCTTAGGGAAAATGGAAAGTGAACTAACAATGTAGAGAATAAGAAAAGCCATTTTTTCCCACATTTACAATAACTAAAGCTGAAAATTGTGCAAATTTTGTCTCTCTATTAGAGGTAGCAAAGAAAAATAGCACATTAAATGGATAAAAAAAATTTATTCAAGACCTTTGCAATTGTGGAGAGTGATTGAATTCAATTCTGCTGAAAGAAATAAATGGTCAAACAGTGTTTAAGCACTGGTGTGAGCTTGTGTAAAAAATACTGGAGGACATTCAAGGCAAGGTTGGTCAATGTGATTACAATGGCTGTTTGCTAATTGGTGATTTTCTACATTAGGCTTCCACTGTCTTGAAAAGACTGGAAAAATAGAGGCCCTATCTTTTTGAGAATTTCATCTAAAAGGAATGGCTCTCAGGTCCTTAAACTATTCCTGTAATAGTTTAGATATACAATGCCCCCTAAAATAGCAAGTGTTCAGAGGTAGGGCTTTTAGAAGTTGAATGGATCAAGGGGATGGTGTAATCATAAGTAGATTGATCCACTGATAAGTTCATAACTAGAGCTATTAGGAGGTGGGGGTCTGATGGAGAAAAAGGTGTCACTGAAGGCATGCTTTTGGAGGATATATAACAAACAAACTTTACAAAGGTAACTTTACAGGCTCTAAAAGCTGGTCAGTTTACTACATAAAAGTATGTAGTACAAGGCTATTCTTACAAGAATTAGTTTTTTCATAAAAATAGTATTAATTTTAGATCCTCAAGCACTCTGCAATGCCTTGAAATTTATCAGGTTGAATATGGCCTCAAAATTCTAGACTGCCTATCTAAGTGTAGGCATATCCACAGGCAATGGATGTAATTGGCTGTAGGAGTAGTAGTTAACATGGAATTGTTTCTTAATATCCGTGCCTGTATTGATTTAAGATGTAAAGTCTTTGGGATCTCATAAGACAGAAAACACTGGGATACAATTTAGAAATTAGCTCCCAAGTGTCAGCAATTCCTGGACTCTTCTGATAAGATAAACATCACCATGTATTCTTCCAGTAGGAAGCAATAAATGCCTTTTTGTTCTCCTCATGACAAAAGTTGAAGCAATATATAAAAAAATCAAGATAGAAGAACTTGCAAAGAACCCCTTCAAGCAAGTACTAGTCTATTAGATATGAAGGTTTAGCCTTAGAATATTTCAAAGTACCATCAGTATTTAAAAGGAGCTTAAAGGATTTGTGAAACAAGAATAAAATGGTAACACATTTTAAATTTTTCATGTTCTATTTTTATTCAGGATTATTAACAAAATGATTTTGGTAACAAGGAATAATTCATAGAGAAAAATAATTGAGGAGGGTTAAATGGATAAAGAGGAAGAGGAAATGAGACACAATTGAAAAAGTAGAAGGTACTGTAGGAGCCAAGTGTCGTTTGTTAGTATAATTTAACTAGTCAGTCAATCACATGGGCCAGAGATATTCTCAAGTTACAATTCAAATATGCCTAGAAAAGGCTACAGTTTGTCTGTAAATGAGTGGATAGTGTTGTTATTAGTGTCGTTGAGAGTGTATGTTATTCATGACATATTATAGTTTGACATTTCTTTTGTGATTTTTCTTTAATGAACAAGAAGAAAATATACGAAAGAATATTAGAGAATTTCTTTAGAAAATCATAAATTTGAGATGTTATTCTTATAATTTAAACAGTTCTCAAAATATTGGGCTCTCATCAGTAGAACATATACAAACAGTTCTTAAATATGATTTTATGCACCAAAAATAGCTAGTTTATTTTTATAGTGGGCTTATCACAACGCTACATGTAGTATTCATAATTTTCCTAGCTACTTTATCATGTATTACATTTTAATGAAAGTTTTATTCTCTTTACATGGAATGCAGGTAATTTAATTCATTTTATATAGTTCCATTAAAATTATCTTATATGGATACAATCTGATATCCATATCTGTAAGTTCCACATTCACAGGTCCAGTAAATTGTGGATCAAAACTATTTGTAAAAAGTAAAGTTATATCTATACTGAACTTGTAT